TTGCTTTCATTTAGAAAGGGGCTGAGAGGCAGAAAGTCATTTTGTAGCTACGGGAGGCAAAGGTAAGGGGTAAGGAAGTGAGTTGGTTTTCCGTATGTTGCTAGCAACATCTGGGGACTAAGTCTAAGGATGTGATCACTGTGGCTAACTGGCTACGTCATTAAAAGGAAAAGTTGCACGCAGTGACCCTTCAAGACTAGGGGCCTTGGGCCTCAACCCCAGGCTAAATAGATGCTTTAGGAAGGAAGGAGGTCAGCCAACTCTAGAACACCAGATGGCTCAGATCTTACTGCCAGCCAGAGGGAGGTAGATTTGAGCTAGTCAAAGGGAGGTAAGCCCAGAGGGTGAAAAGAAAAGAAAAGAAAGATGAAGACCTGAGCTAGTCACATAGATGGATTTATCCAGTCAAATGGAGAAGGGCCCAAGCCTGTCCCACAGAGGAGATAGGCCCCTGGGAGGCCCTGGAGGACTTGTTTCCCTTGTGGTTTTTTGCACTTCCTGTTCCCTTGCTCACTGCGGAAGTTCCTCTTCTTACCCTACACCCATAGCTAAGCCGGAGAGGACAAGGACAGAAGGCATCATGAGTGGGGGCCTGGTTGGAGGAAGGCCTGGGAGTCGAGGGGCACCAGTGGTCCAGCAGAACATTCCTTCCACTCTCCTCCAGGAACATGAGAACCAACAAATCTTTGAGATGCTGGGCCGGAAATGTTGGGTGAGCTGGGGATCTTTTGGCCTTCCCTCCCTTTCCTCTCTACCTCCTCCCACCTTCCCTATCCTTCCCAATTCTTCCTCCCTCCCCCCCTTCTCTCTTTCCTCCCTTCCTCCCCCTTTAGCGGGGTTCATTCATCCAAAGAAGATCTCAATGTCTACTCCCCTCCCCTCTGGTGACAGCTCTTCCTCTAGGCTCGTGACAGCCTCCAGCAAGAAAGGAGCAGGACTGGCTCCAGGACCCCCTGGCACCCTATAGCTTGAGCAGACGCTGCTGATCCTTGCTCTCTCTTCACAGACACTGGCCACTGCAGTTGTTCAGCTGTACCTGGCGTTGCCCCCTGGAGCCGGGCACTGGACCATGGAACATTGTGGAGCTGTGTGCTTTGTCAAAGATAATCCCCAGAAGTCTTACTTCATCCGCCTTTATGGCCTTCAGGTGACAAGCCCCCCTCCCCCCCCACGTCCTACTGCAAGACAGTTCTCTCAACCTACAAAACCAGATCTTGTATCCACATTCCTGAGCCTTTGAAGGGATTGGTGCATTCTTGAGTCTCAGAGCCAAAGACTTATCTAGGCCCAAAACTCTAATTAACTGTCTTTCTTTCTTTCTCTCTTTCCTCTTTCTTTTTCTTTTTCTTTCTTTCTTTCTTTCTTTTCTTTCTTTGTCAGTTGTAGAGATTGAACTCTGGGCCTGGGCGCTGTCCCTCAGCTTTTCACCTCAAGGCTAGCTCTCAGCCACTTGAGCCACAGCACCACTTCCGGTTTTCTGGTGGTTAATTGGAGATAAGAATCTCATGGACTTTTCTGCCCAGGCTGGCTTTGAACCTCAATCATCAGATCTCAGCCTCCTAAGTAGCTAGGATTACAGATGTGAGCCACCAGAGATCAGCTCTCTGATTAATTTTCTAAAGTAGATGACTGACATTCTGAGTCTCCATATCAGAAAATCTCTCTCTCTCTCTCTCTCTCTCTCTCTCTCCCCTCCCCCTCTCTCTCTCCTGGAGTTTGTTTGGCAGGTACTCTACTACTTGTGCCACACAACCAGTCCTTTTAGCTGTTTTTCAGATAGGGTTTCATGTTATCTTCCCCCGACCCTCCCCCTCCAGTCTAGACTACAGTCCTCCTATGAACAGTTTCCACATAGCTGAAATGATAGGTGTGTGCCATCGCACAGGCTTATTTGTTGAGATGGGGTCTGCTAACTTTTTTTCCTAGGTTGCCCTCTAACAGAGATCCCTGATCTGATCTCTACCTCCTAAGTAGCTATGAGGTATGAGCCATTGTGCCTAGCCCATATAACTCACAAGTATTAATATAAATCTAAGCACAATCTTATTCACTAACTCAAAAAAAAAGAGCACCATATTTGTACTTCAGCCTCAAATCTGTTCTAAATTAAGTGTGTTGCATGATCTCAGAACTGGAATTTGAATTTCTCAAATTGAAGCCCCCAAGTCCCACACCTAGGACTTTGAACTCCCAATCTAAACATCATACAGCAGTACAGGTTGTACTTTATCCCTCCATAGCTGACATTTAAACCTCTGTCTTTTTTTTATTCCAATACTGGGGCTTGAACTCAAGGCCTTGAACTTTCACCTGACTTTTTCCCCTGAAGGCTAGGGTTCTACCACTTGAGCTACAGCTCCATTTCTGACTTTTCAGTGGTTAATTGGAGATAAGAGTCTCAGAGACTTTTCCTGCCCAGGCTAGCTTCCAACTGTGAACTTAAGATATCAGCCTCCCAAGTAGCTATGATTACAGGTGTGAGCTACCAGTGCCTGGATAGACCTCTTGCTTTCTGATGCTGTCTGGATGTCACACTCCTGGTCATAATGGCCTACCCTCCTTGCCAGCCTGTGTCTCCCCTCCCCTCCAGGCTGGCCGACTGCTCTGGGAACAGGAACTATATGCCCAGTTGATCTACTTCACACCCACTCCCTTCTTCCACACCTTTGCTGGAGATGTAAGTAGCCACCAAGCCCTTGGGCTTCAGGTGGGATTTGGGGAGGAAGTGGGACGAGGGATAGGGATGAAGGCCGCTGACCCCAAGGCATATGTAGGACTGCCAGGTGGGACTGAACTTTGCAGACGAATGTGAGGCGCAGGCCTTCCAGGCCCTGGTGCAGGAGAAGATACAAAAAAGAAATCAGAGGCAAAGTGGAGGTAAGGAGGTAGGCTTTGGTGGAGGACAGAGTTTGGGCAGAGGTAACTGCACAGATGGGGGGCTAGAAAAGTACTTCTCATGGTTTTGGCTTCTAATCTGCTTATCTAGCCACAGACAGACGCCAGCTACCACCGCCTCCAGCACCAGCCAATGAAGGTGGGTCTTTTAGTTCAAGGGTGTGCGTGGGGGAAATAAAGAATTAGCTCTCAACTTAAGAGGAGGTCATGACAGCTCTCAACCCATTAATCAGAGAGAAGAGGAGGCCTCCCACCTCTGCCCCCACATCCAGGTGGAGACCAAGGGAGTGAGTGATGATTTTTTCTTATGTCTTTGGATGAAAGGGTGGGTGGGTGGGGAGTGGGATGATGAGTAACTTAGTTGGAGCACAAGTGGGTAAAGGGGTGAGTGGCCAGAGGGATGGGTGGATGAGTGGATGAGTGGGTGGGTGGATGGATGGTAGATGGATAAGTATGTGATTGGATGAGCAGGTGTGTGAATGTGTAGATGGATGGGTCAGCAGATGAATTGGTGGCTAAGTTGGGGGGAGAATGAAATGATGGGAACTTGAAAGTATGAAAAGATGTATAGACATACAGGTAGGTTATAGACAGTTGAACTGCTCTGGGGATAAATGGATGGCTATATGGGTACATGTGTAGCAAATTAATGAATGAGGGAATAGATAAACAGTAAATATATAATATTCTAACCAGTGAAGAAAGCAATGATTAAGACCAGAGCAATAGCTCGAAATTAAGAGCATGTGCCAGAGGCCCTGAATTTAAAAAAAAAAAAGGAAAGAAAAGAAAATAGAGAAAAAGAAAGCAGTGGTTAGTGTATAAGCTGGGCACCTGTGGCTCATGTTTATAATCTTGGCTGAGATCTAAGAATCAGTTCAAAGACAGCCCAGGCAGAAAAAAAAAAAGCAAACCAAAAAACCAAGACTCTTATCTCCAGTTAACCAACAAAAAGTTGGAAATAGAGGTGTGGCTTAAGCGGTAGTGTCTGCCTTAAGCAAAAAAGCCAAGCAAGAGCACAGGGCCCTGAGTTCAAGCTCCAGTAGAAGCACAAAAAAGTGAATGAATATTATTTTGTTTCTGTTTTTAGTAGTCATATTAATAATTGTACAAAAGAATTACAATTATATAAGTCTGAAATGTGAATAAGTTAGCAAATTAATCAGCCATTGAGCCAGAGAATGAATGACTCATTAGTTACAAGGTAAGTATGAGTGACTGTATAATTGAATGAATTATACAATATTTATTCATACATGTATATTACATATATATTTATGTATATGTAGTATTTGTGCACATATAATCATTCATACACATAAATGTCTGAATGGTTTTAGGGAGTCCACCTGCTTCTACATAGATCTTAGACTCCTCATCTGTTCCTGCCATGACAGTCAAAAACACCCACATACTCCCCAAACAGTATTCCAATTCCTCATCCCAATGTCTTGCTGGTAGGTAAGACGATCAATGGTCTGTTCATCCTATTTTCCTGACAGGCCCACAAAGTGCCCCACTATCACTAGGGCTGGTAACAGTGGACATTCAGAACCCTGACATCACCAGTTCACGATACCGTGGGCTCCCAGCACCTGGCCCTGGCCCAACTGATAAGAAACGCTCCGGAAAGAAGAAGATAAGCAAAGCTGATATTGGTGCACCCAGTGGATTCAAGTGAGAATTTCTCCCACATAGGAGATCTGTGGATCCTGGGGGCAGGGAGGGGCATAGGAACAGGTATTCAAATGAGTGGATGGAAGGATGGGCAGATGGGTGGATGGGTGGTGGGGGGAATAAATGAATGGTTAGATTGGACATTAATGGATGGGCCAGGTGTCAATGGGAAATGAGTAAGTCACTAGGGATGAGCCAAGGTGTCAATGGGAAATGAGTGAATCAATGGATGACTAGTGGATGAGTGTGTGAGCAGATTGTTTGTAGGCTGACAGGTTCATCGGAAAGGTGGATGGGGATGGTTAGGTAAACAGGTATGGATGGCTAGGCAATTCATTGGATAAGTGAGCAGATGTATACGTTTTAATGAGTAGAAAGACCAGTGCATGGACAGAAAGGCAGGTACTTATATAGATCAATGGGTGCTTAGATATGTATGGGTGTAAGGACAGATTGGTAGACAAATGGGTAAATAGCTGTGTGAGCAGATGGGTGGAGGGACAGATGTGTGGACAAATCAGTGGTCCAACGTATACAAGTAGATAGTGACAAGAGTTTCAGGTGAATAATTTGGCACTACACAGTATGGACCCTTCTAGTTTCATGACTCCTGCTCACACCCATTGTGCCCCCTCACAGCCTCTCTGAGCAGGAGAGGCCTAGAAAGCTTCACTAGGAAGGGAGGGCAGTGGGACTTCAACAGAGTCTCCTCACCTCCCCCAGACATGTGAGCCACGTAGGCTGGGATCCCCAGAATGGATTTGATGTGAGTAAATCCGGTCTCCTGAACCCCACTCAGCTTCCAGCCATCCTTCCATAGACCACTACTGGAATCCCACTCCCAAATCCTGCCCTTCCCACATCCCTTTCAGATTTCTCCCTGGGATAGAGCCAATGGTAATTGTGTTCCCCCTTACTCCTGGCCTCTTCCATTCCTGGCAGGTGAACAACCTTGACCCAGATCTTCGGAGCCTGTTCTCAAGGGCTGGAATTAGCGAGGCCCAGCTCACTGACGCTGAGACCTCCAAACTTATCTATGACTTCATTGAGGACCAAGGCGGGATAGAGGCTGTGCGGCAGGAGATGCGGCGCCAGGGTAAGTCTTCTACCAGCCCCAACAGTTGATAAATCACAGATAAACTGAAAGTCACTCCATTTTCCTGAGAATGTCTTATCTACACTGGTTTAACAGGAGTTGATCCCTTGAGGGTAAACATTTTACCAATAAACAAACTGAAGCTCAGAAGAAAAGGAGTGGGAAGCCAGGCACTGGTGGTTCACACTTGTAATCCTATCTACTTAGCTGGCTGAGATCTGAATATAGAGGTTTGAAGTCAGCCTGGGCAGACAAATCCAAGGGACTCGTATCTCCAACTAACCAGAAAAAATTCCAGAAGTGGCCGGGTGCTGGTGGCTCATATGTGTAATCTTAGCTAACACAGGAGGCTAAGATCTGGGAATCACAGTTCAAAGCTAGAAAAAAAAAACAAAAAACAGAAGTATGGTAGAATGAGAGCTTTGAGTACAAAAGCTCAGGGACAGTGGTCAGGCCGAGTTCAAACACCGTGATTGAAGGGGGAAAAATAAGCCCGAGGTGGAGCTGCAGCTCAAATGGTAGAACATTATCCTTGAGCACAAAAATTGAGGGACAGCACCCAAGCCCTGAGTTTAAGCCCCAAGTGTGGCTCAAGCATAGAGGTGTGGCTCAAGTGATAGAACACCAGCCTTGAGTGAAAAAGCCAAGTAAGAGCTTGAGGACCTGAGTTCAAGTCTCAGTACTGGCACAAGAAAAGGAATGAAAATATGCCGGGTGCCCGTGGCTCATGCCTGTAATCCTAGCTACTCAAGAGGCTGAGATCTGAGGATCGTGGTTTAAAGCCAGCCCGGGCAAGGAATAAGCCACCAGGAAACCGGAAGTGGCCCTGTGGCTCAAGAGGTAGAGCGTAAGAATGGTAGGATGAATGATCAGGTCTCTGGGATTCAAGGGTGTTCTGTACAAGTCAGGATACTGAGATCAAGGCTAATATAGATGGGGGTGCTTTTGGAAGTTGAGTGACAGGGTTGGACATGGGTGGGGAATCTTTGATCTGAGTGTAAAGGAGGAGAAATAATAAGAAAGGCTCAGAGAAAAGCTTCTCTCTGCGTTGGAGGCATGGCTTAGTAGGTAGAGCATTAGCCAATGAGTGAAAAAGTCAGGTACTGGGTTCAAGTTCTAATCTTTGATCAAAAGAAAAGAAATGTTCCTTTCGCAGACCTAAGTCCTCTGGCCCTGTGCTACTTTTTGCAGACCCCTGGAGCCGTAGAGAGCTCAGCCCAGCAGCCACCACCTCAGACCTCAGAAGGGCTGGTGGGCGCCCTGATGCATGTGATGCAGAAGAGGAGCAGAGTCATCCATTCTTCAGGTGAGTCTACCCTGCCAGTGCTAGCATTGGCCTTATACCAACCCCACATGCTGCCATCAATAGTGGCACTAGGGCTGGAGATGGAACCCAGTGACAGACTACTAATCGACCATGATTGAGCCTCTGGCCAAGTTCAATTCTCATTATTGCAAGAAAAAAAGAAAAAAAATAGTGAAACTTCGAGCATCTATTGATAGCCATATTCACATGAAGCCTCTTTCTTTCTTTTTAAAATTTTTTTCTTTTTGCTATTCCTGGGGCTTGATCTCAGATACTGAGAACTGTCCCTATGCTTCTTTTGCTCAATGTTAACACTTTACCACTTGAGCCACAGCACCACTTCCAGCTTTTTCTGTGTATATGGTACTGAGGGATCAAACCCAAGGCTTCATGCATACTAGGCAAGCACTCTACCATTAAGCCACATTCCCAACCCCCTCTTCCTTTTTTTTTTTTTAATCAAGACTTTTTAAAGTACCATATAATAGGCCAGGCACCAGTGGCTCACACCTGTAATCCTAGCTACTAAGAAGGCTGAGCTCTGAGGATCGAGGTTCAAAACCAGCCTGGGTAGGAAAGTTTGTGAGACACTTATTTCCAATTAACCACCAGAAAGTTGGAAGTGGTGCTGTGGCTCAAGTGGTAGAGCTTTCGCCTTGAGCTGATGAGCTCAGGTACAGAGTTCAAACCACACAACTGACAAAAAAAAAAGTAGCATTATATTTTTCGTATGTAAGATGTTTCATTGTGACATTTCCATACATGCTTATGATATACTCTCTTACGATATACCCCCATCACACTCCAACTCCTCCCCCCCTTTTTTTT